GAATTATTTAAATTAAAAAAGTGTGAAATAATGTTGAAAACCATCAAACAAGCGATGGAAACTTTCTACTTTACAAGCATCATTAGATCCAGTTTTGGAGGACCCCATCCCCTGTCACGTGATCCGTTACCGCTTTTCCAATTCTACCTAAGCCAGACACGTGCCTTGTTTCCTTGTACTTTCCAAACCCATACTTTTGAGGCCCATTTTGTCAAGCCACTACAAAATATTAAATTATTTTAATTATTAAAAATAATTATATATTTAAACTAACATTTAAATTAAAAATTAGGATTAATTTGTATATATTTTTTAATTGATATAATTTTTTAACTTCGCAACTAAAGGATTGTTTACCAAACTCTTGTCAAGTAATATTCTCGTTCATAAAAAAATGATTGTGGTAAGTAGGCCCATTTATCGGTTGATATCCATTGGATGTAAGGGAAACCAAACCGATACAATCATCTATTGGATGTTGGATTTTGTCAACCGATTAATATTGGATCATGAATCCAATCCAATGGATGATTGGATCTGTTCGATTTCATGCATTGGATACTTTTATTGGATATCCAATGGATGATCTGCTGATATTTAATTCATCCAGTGTGTTAAATCAATCAAATTCTTCTACAATGATACAAATTTATTAATCATTTTTTATATGTGTTAAAACCAACACAAGAGAAATCAAAATTCAAAGTCTCACCTAAAACAAATTTCGGTTTAAGCAATTTGAAAATACATTAATTGGATGATAGTTGGATAATGGTTTGATGGACAACTGAATGGTCGTCAAATGATTAATTGGATGGGTAATTGGATGTTGATCGGTTCAATTCGTTTCGGTTTTGCCAGTCCAGAACCGACCGATTCAAATTGAATGTTGAAATTTTCAATCTGATCCAATTACAATTGGATATCCAATTATGGTCGGTCAGTTCTAATTGTTCCAATTGGATCGGGTGATTTTCTGCACACCCCTAGTGGTAAGCATCTTTTACTGAGTGTTTTTTTCCTCACTTACTGTTAAGACCCTTAGGGGCCGTTTACTAAACGTTTATCCATGAAGTGTTTACTGGGTAATTTTCTTTACCGGAACATGACAAGGGCCAAAAATCTTACCCGGTAAGAACAATGATAAAGATGAAGAGTCTTACTCGGTAAATGAAGGTGAGGACTCTTACCCGGGTAAGTGCTTACCGAATAAATTATTGCATACGATATCATTTTGATGTACTACAATCTTACCCCGTAAAATAAATTACAATACTGACTCCTAAAAGGTAAGAACTTACCGGATAAACATTTAGGTAAACAGCTCCTTAGTATTTGTCATGCTTCTTACCGAGTAATATTATCCATCATTGGCATACTCACTAATAAGGTAAGTGACGTCTGATAAACAGTAACCTGAAGAGTCTGATAAATGGCTTTAAATGCAATTGGCGTGTGTGATATAAGGGAATTTAGTTAAAAAAAAATACTAAAATGAATGTTAAAAAGTATTATATTTTTAAGTCTTATTTAAATAAGTGTTTTAGATAAAAGCATATAAAATATTTTTGACAATTAATTTTCTCATTTTTATAGAAAAACCTCAAACATTTTTTTTGTAGAAGAATACAAATTTATATTAAGATGAAATTAAAATACATACGAAACTACGTAACGTTGGATAAATAAATCATTGGGCCTTTAGCTGTGATCGGGCTCGAGCCCAATTGGGCTTTTCAATCGAGTAATAGTAGGCGGTAGCTAGAGATGGTTAAATTGGGCCCGACATAGGACTGGTTCTGGTTGGAACCGGTTATGTCCAAGAGTTTGAGATCGGTTACACATTTTATGGAATTTCAATACTTATTTATGACCCAATTTACAATTTTTTGCGTTTTTATAAATTATAATACAAGTTTTTTTTTTTTAAGTTACAAGATCTTTCGAGTAAATGCATTTTTAAAGTGTATTTTAATCCTAGATTTTGAAAATAGTAGTTACAAAACAAATTAATAACATTTTTGTGTAAAAAAAATTAAAATTTTTATTATTTTTTAAACAAGGATCGGGACCGGTTACTTACCTAGGATTGGTCCTAAGATTTTGGTCGAGATCATGACTGAGACTGTCTGGCCTAATTTTAAAAGGACTGATTTAAAACCGATTATTGACCATCTCTATCAAGTAATACACACATTTTCAATTTTTCGTTCTTGTGGTTCATCAAAACTCTAGTTCTCGTCTCTCCACTTCATTAAATACCCCTGTGGTTTGGATTTCATTCACTAATGAGGGGTAAAATGGTCATTTATGTTATTCGGACTATTTATTCGACACTAAAAACGAACAACATTTTGTCTTGAATTAATTCTAACAATTCAATCCATACAAGACTAATGGTCCATTTGCTAGGCTACAAACTCAAAAGGAACCCATAAATTACTGCATTCACATCAACCGTAGACGTCTGACCTCGTTAATGAATAGTTTGAATTGGAGTCCTAGTTGAAGATAACATTGATGGCATGATAGATTGTGCTCTCTGAAACGAGTTTATCTACGAACAAATAGTTGCCTAATTCAACACAAGCTTGCACATGGATTGGGTTAGATTTGTTGGTTTTTTAAGGCGTTTAAACAACCCAACTTAATTAACACGGTTAGAAAAGTCGTTCTTTAAAAAAATATCCAAAGCATGATCCAACTCAACCAACTTGTACAGACGATGTTAGTCACTACCACCAGTTGATTGAGCATTTATGCTACGTGGAGGGGTAAAAAGTTAAGACCAACACTAAGAAGAAAGTTGAAGATTATTGCAAATAGAAAATAAAATCATGGATGTAATTAGGGGCGTTCAAAAAACCCAAACGACCGTTCAAATCGGTCGAACCAAGTCAAATCAGGACCGTTTTTGGCGGTTTGAGCAATATAGCGGTCCGGTCCAGTCTGAAAATTAGCCAAATCGTTTGATCTGGTCTGATATGCGGTTTGAATGTTATTTTAACGGTCTGAACCAAACCGACCGTCAAATATACACATGTTTTAATTATATCTAGTTTTCATGTTGTATGTTCAACTTTTATGACCTAATTTAAAAAAAATTTGACCAAGGTATTGCATTTTTAGTTTTCATTCATCGACCGTGTTATCTGAATTGACAAAATCCCAAAATCCGTCAAAAATCAAATACCAAATTTTCTTTCGACTTGCTCAATGTTTGTCCTTCCAACTATTGTCGGACTTGTTTAGCTTTTTTTCAATTTGCTAAACGTTTTTTTTTTCTCTAATTTTAGACATAGACGTTTCTTTTATAATTTTGTGTATTAATTTTTTTAATAATGTTATGTTAGTAGAAATTTCATTATGGATATAGATTTATGTTCTTTAGTTTAAAGCTCATAAGAGGCCTAAATCGGTCAGACCGAACCGTTATCTTTTGGTTCGGTTTGACCGGTTTGGTCAATTGTAGCCAAACCGCACGGTTTGGAAAATTTCTAAACTGCCATTATGGTTTGGTTTGTGGGATTAACCCGTACAAACCAAACCTCAAACATCCCTAATTGCAATTGTGATACACTTGTAAAAAGAGATAACCAGTTAATTGTCACGATCATACAGATCAAAGGTAGCACTAACATGTCAAGGAGGAGATATGTATGACATGGCCATCAGTCTATCAGATTTATCAGTTTGTGTTTGGTTCAAATAATGCTAATTTAGTCCAACACAATACTTATGATTTGAAGATTTTATAAATACTTACATGTCGTTTTGTGTGTGGAATTCGAAGAAATTTGATGGAATTCCAATTCATTTGTTTGGTTCACTTCTTAAATAGATGTCATCCTTCAAATTCCATTGAATTCCACAAATAAATGAATTCATCATTTCTTGATATAATGGATGAAATTGAATTCCATCACCGCCCATCCCTTGCCCCCACCACGACCATGCTACTACTGTTCTTCACACCTCACCCCTACCCCCCACTACTATTGTCGCCGCTACCCACCCTGATCCACCACTAACCACCATGCCACTACTGTTGTCATCACACCCACCCACCACATATCCCTACTACGGTCTTGCTACTATCGTTACTATCACACCCCTAACCTAACCCCCCATCACCACACCACTACTGTCATTGTTACAACCATTACTTACCCCTACCCCTATCCTATCCTGACCCACCACTAACCACCATGTCATTACTGTAGCCCTCATACCCACCCACCCCCAGCGCCCCACCGTCCAGTTCCTACCCACCCGACCCCACCGCCCTTGCCCACACCACCCGTCGAGCAGGGTGAGCGGGTTTTAGGGAGGGTTGGTGAGGGTGGTGGGGGCATGGGTTTGGGAGTGGTAGATGTGATGACGACAGTAATGACATGGTCGTTAGTAGGGTGTGGGCGAGGCGATGGATGGGGTGTTCCAAATTTGGGGTGTTCCAAATAAAGATGATTGTTTCAGTTCTTTTGATTCCAACTCCTACCGACCAAAAACGTGGTTAAATTCCATCAAATTTCATTCCAATTCCTTTAAAGTCAAAATTATTTTGATGGATTATAATTCCACCAAATTCCATTATGTGAATCAAACGCTTCCTTAAAAGTGAGGCATGTAGTTTAGATGGTTTGAGCACATGATTACGAACCACAATGTCAGGGGTTTGAAATTTGAACCCCTCCTCGCCCTCAACCCGTCAAAAGGGAACCAGATAAAAGTATGCAAAATTGTTATATATATTGTACGCGTTAATTGTCATTTAGCTGATAGGTTTTTGTACTCGATAACTATACCTATATGTATTTTAACAAGTTTAAAAATTTTACAACTAGATTATACATTACCATTAATCACACATTGTACATTTAACTATCAATCATTTTGCACCAAATCTAATACATACCTACTTTAATAAATACATATCCAAACAAGACTAAACCCTACATTGAAAAATTGAATTTCAAAAGGTTGAATACGCCCTCTGGTTCCTAAATGTTGGAAATCAAAATGGCTCCTTAATTTTAACAGAATCTAGTGAAGGTTTAATTGATCCCATCTTCCATCTAGGGGCGTGTAATCGATTGGAGAGGTGGCGGCAGTGAGGGTTTGCGTTTGATTGTTTGAATCCAGCGTATACGATTGGAGCTCAGGCAGCGGTGGTTGCGGCAGTCACTCTCCGTCGAATCTTAAAGCAGAAGGAGCAGCAAGGGTTTGTTTCTTCAGATTTTGTTCTTTCGCAGCAATTTTTAGGGTTTTGTATATGATGGATTTTGGTTGATTTCTTTGTGTTCATTTTCCTCTCTCGATGAATGCGATTGTTTACGAAGAGATCGATTTATGCCTATTTACATTTTCGTTCTAAAATTGAAATCAATATTCGTTGCATCATCTTCGTGGTTTTCATCTTCTTCCGTTTCTGCTCTTTAGATTTCGTTGTGTTCGAATCTGCTCCTTCTGTTTACATTTTTGCCCAAAATTCTCTGAAGAAAACGATGAATCATGGTCTTGTTTTTCATTTTGAAGACGAAGATGATGAATGGTTGCAGAGAAAGGAAAATTTCTAAATTAGGGCAAAATTGTAATTTCAAATGCACAACAAGGGGTATTTTCGTCATTTTATTCAGGCAAGTTCAGTGGTCTTTTTGGGTTTTCGTACTCCCCTTTTCAGACACTCATTTCCACACGGCGGCACGTGTCCTTCAATCGCTCTCTAATTCGATTTCTCCTCCATTCCTCCGCCATTATTAGAGCTACCGATATCTTTCTCAGGTAATCTGTCTGTGTTTTCAAGGTCGCCGGTGTCGCTGCATTTCTCCGCCTTTTTCTTGATTTGAAGCTCCAATCATTCTGTGTGCTTTTGCTTCTTTATTCTCTCCCCAGCGAAAGTTAGGGTTTTATAACTTTGAGACCAAAAAAACCCTTAATCACAAGAGTTAGAACCCTAAAATACCATCTGTGACTTCATTTATGACGTTGATCGGACCACTAGTCTGTACATTTTTGCGTTTTATGTTGCTTCTTTTGCGTAATTTATCGGTCATTTAGGGTTTGAGAACAATGTACTCAGTACACTGACTTCGTATGCATGCAGATGACTTCTAGTGGTGGTGGTGGGCAGCGGTCTAGCAGCGGTGATGCCGGTGAATCACCGAAAGGTAAAACCGTAGGTGCGGTTTCTGGTACTGATGTTGACCAGTTGAATCAAGGGTTGGGAGATATGAGCTTGGATTCCAGCAAAGATGGTGGTTGGGACGCTTTTTGCAATGAAAACAAAAAAGGAGATGGTTGGGGGGAATGGTGTCAAGATGATGCCCAGAGAACCGTTGGATCGGGTAATGATGCTGAAGAAGTTGATGATGGTGATGACGGTGATGACCTTGACCCTTCTGAGGATGAGCTTGATAGTGATGATTATGATTCAGATGACAGTCAAATGAGTCACGATTCACGAAAGAAGAACCCGTGGTTTGCTGAATTCTTTGGGACACTAGATGATCTGACCGCTGAGGAGATTAACGAACCAGCTAGGCAGTGGCACTGTCCAGCTTGCCAGAATGGTCCTGGTTCTATTAACTGGTTTCGGAGTATGAAGTCGTTTCTTACTCATATCAAAACTAAAGGGACAAGGAGACCAAAGCTTCACTGTGATCTTGCTGAACTTTTGGATGAAGAATTATGCAGGAGGGGGGCTACGTTAGTGCCAGCTGGTGAATCATATGGACAATGGGAAGGACTCAACAAAGATGTCCAAGATTGGGAAATTGTTTGGCCACCAATGGTGATCATCATGAATACACAGCTAAAGCAGGATGAAAAGGAGAAGGTATATCCCTTGTTTTTATATGCCTTTGATGAGCTGCTCTTGATTTAACTCCCAATACAAAGCTAACACTTGAATAAGCCAAACCAAACCTAATGAACCCAGTTTATCCTGTTGAGGCAGGGGCGGACCCAGTATGAGCATACGGTGGCACCGCTTCGGTCCTCCATCGTAGTTTAAAAAAATTTAGGTTCGTGAAAGGTGCCACTGTATTATTTTGTTGGGGGCAACCGTATCTATTTTGAAATTACAATGATAGCACAAGTTTCTCTTAGCAGAGTTGGTTTTGGTCTTTTTTTTACCATTCCAGGTGCTGGTTCGAATCCCATTTGTATCATTTTCTTAGTTTTTAGCTTTTTAATTTCAGGTTTATTGTGTTCCTATTTTTTTTTTTGAGATAAAAGACTTGAACAAAAGGACCTAACATACGAAAAACAAGGCACTAACCAACAGACCAACAATGATTTTGTGAAAAATATCTATAGCCTCGTTTTTTATAATCAAATGGTGCCACCACTTGAAAAAGTTTCTAGGTATGCCTCTGACCCGAGGTGGGGTCTGAGAGATTTAAGTAGATGTACACATCTAACCTCTACCCGAAAGAGTAGAGCGGCTGATTCTGTGATGATTCCCCGGGGGAGGGACAATTTGAAAAACTGATTGACATTAATGTGGGTTTCATATCACATTTTTTTTACCACATTTGAATTGTGATTTCAGTGGCTTGGCATGGGAACCCAAGAGCTTCTGGACTACTTTGATTCATATGAAGCCGTGAGAGCCCGTCATTCATTTGGGCCTGAAGGGCATAGAGGGATGAGTGTGTTAATATTTGAAACCTCAGCTGTAGGATATTTAGAGGCTGAGCGTCTGAGTAAGCATTTCGAACGTCAAGGTTTAGATAGAAATGCTTGGGATCATCACCCAAATCTGTTCCATCCTGGGGGTAAGCGGCAGTTACATGGCTACATGGCAACCGAAAGAGACTTGGATATCTTCAACCAGTATTCATTTGGTCTGCACTCTTTTCCTTCCCTTTTCATTAAATGCAGTTGTTATCTGAGTTTTTATAACGCTCTTTAACCTGCTGTGTATGTATATTTAGCAAAATTCAAGTTGAAGTTTGAGTCAGTCTCGTATCAAGAGAAGGTTGTCAATCAGCTAAAGCAAATGAACAAGGACTGCAAACAGTTGCCTTGGTATAAGAAAAAAATTGCCAAGCAAGAGAGGAATTCAAAAGCACTTGAAGAGGCATTTTGGTTATTGTCTCGAAAGCTGCGGAAACTTGAAGAAGGGTCCTACACTGTCAACGCTGAAGAGGTATTTATTGATATTAGTTTGAAAATAGCTGGATGCTGAAAAATAGATAATTGAAATACACCCAACAAGCTAATTGATTTGCAAATTTTTATTCAAGTTGAAGCAGAATTTGATTTGCAAACTAAGATATAACCGTTAATTTGACACCATGTTTTATGACTTGCAAGGCCCCTATGTGTTATACAACCTTCACTAAGAATTGTATAACAATTTTCCATCTAACTTTTCTTTTTCTCATCATATATTTCCAATTAGATGGACTTCCAAGAAAACTTTGAGGACCAGTTGAATGTGATCCAAGATGCCAAGGATGCACAAGAAGAAACTTTTAAGAAGCCGTCGGAGGAGCATAAGAGGTATTGCCTGTTTTCACTTTGTGTTTACGAAATTACAACTATGCCCTCCATCCTATGAAAATCGTGATGATCGGTTTGGCGTGTGCCTTGTAGTTTAAGAAAAACACTCGACTGTTTGTTAAATATTTAAAGGTACCCTTTAATAAAGAACCATGAAGGAGAACCGAACAATGAATGTGGACAAATACGTTTTTTTTAACTTGAAATATTCCCAAAAGGGAAAAAGGTTTATATTTTCACGTCACCCCCTAAAACATGGAGGAGTTTTTACAGGGTTGAGGGGGTATAATTCATGATCACCTAAATCGTATGTTTGTGTGAGGAATTGGAATAAAACGCAATGCAACACATTTGATAGAATTAGTACCTTTTTAATATATGATTCTTGTAGTCGGCTTAGGTTTGGATGTTTTTATGTCTCACCTTCACTTGTTCTCTTGAATCGCTCTATTGTTGAAAACTTACGTGCTAAGACCAAAATGCAATGAAGTTTGCAGTACTTTTTCTTAGTTAGTGTAACGAACTTTTAATTCTTGCTACTCCGTACCCATTTTGACTGGCAACCGTAGATCTACTGATGTCGTAGATGCCAACTGGTCAAGCTATGTCGTAATTCTTGATTTTGTATAAAAGTGCCACAACAAAAAACCCGTTTATCTGGTAAATTGGGTAGGAAATAGGAAGAATTCAACGTTTGTTACACTAAATAGGAGCCAAGACGCGAACTTCGTTACATTTTAATGCATTTTGCCTTGTGTGTTATGAATTGTTAGTCTTTATGAACATGTATAGGAGGGAGAATCTTGAAAATTTCTTCAAGGCTCGAGGACAAGAAGTTGAGGAAATTGAGGAAGAGAGGGAGAGATTGGCGAAGTTGCACGAAAAGGAGATGGCTGAAATGAAACTTAAGCATGAGCAAGAACAGATGGAGATGGACAAGAAGTGTAATGCAAAATGGGATCGAGTGACGGAAAAGTGCAGCCAGTGGAAGAAGGTTTAGGCAACGCGCTACTTTCACTAATCGTTACTAGTAAGTCTTTGTGGCGTCGTTTTAAATGTTATGTAAGTAGTCGTCATCTAACGGATTTCATGGGTTTTTTTGCATCTCCAATGGATTTGGGTTTTGGTACATTTGTGGTCGTATATGTATCGATTCACATGTGAAACGTCCATAATGTAAGAGACCGGATTTATGGTTTTTCTTTGACTGCACTCTTTGCATTTTGATGGTTCTCTTTTTTTTCCTCCTGGTTCACGGTGAGGGTCATTGCTCTCACTTATCTTATCGGATAACATTTTTGGTTATCAAAATGAATTGTTACCAAGTGTCTACTACTTGATAAGCACTAACCAAGAAGAATCTTACCGTCTCGCTCGATAAGGTAAGTAACGTCCAGTAAACGTCAGAAAGAATCTTACTGTCACTAACAGGGTAAGATTTTTGGTCATTGTCATACTCTACTACCTCATAAGCGCTAACCAGGAAGAATCTTATTGTTCACTTAGGTGGCGTTTGGTTTGCAGATTCTGGAGGAATCTGAAGGAATTGGAATGTTGAATTCCTTTGACCAGATTCATTTCCTTCGTTTGGTTCATTCTTTTCAGCGAAAGGAATCTTCAGATTCCTATGAATTCCATGGATAAAGGATTTTAACATTCCTTAGCAATTACATGATATTTTGATGGAATGAAATCTCTATCTTCATTATACCAAATATGTCCTTAACCTAATATACTATAATCTCATAAAACTCAATATGACCATCGTCGACCACCTCTCGACCACTATTGATCTGAACCACCGCCGACCACCACCACCGACTACCATTGATCTGAACCACCACCGACTACCACCGATCTGAACCAGCACTGACCACCATCCATCGATCTGAACCACCGTCGACCATCACCACCGATTTGAACCACCGCCGACCACCGCCACCGACTACCACCGGTCTGAACCACCTCCGGCTACCACCGATCTGAACCACCGCCGACCACCATTGATTTGAACCATCGACGACCACCACCACCGACTACCACCAATCTGAACCACTGCCGATCTGAGCCACCACTGATCTGATTTACCGTCAATCTGAACCACCGCCGATAACCGCCATCTGAACCACCATGGACCACCGCCGATCTAAACCACGCTGACCACCACCACCGACTACCACCGATTTGAACCATCGTCGACCACCGCCGACTACCACCGATCTGAACCACCGTCGACCACCACCACCGACTACCGTCGACCACCACTACCGACTACCACCGATCTAAGCTACCACTGATCTGATTCACTGTCAATCTGAACCTCCGACGATAACCGCCATTTGAACCACCATGGACCACCACCGATCTGAACCATTGTCGACCATCGTCATCTGAACCACCACGGACCACCATCGATCTGAACCACCGCCAATTACTACCGATCTAAAGCACCGTCGATCTAAGCCACCATTGACCATCGCCGACCACCGTCGATTTAGTAACGTTGTTTGGCTTATGATTATATTTGGGTTGTGTATTTTATATTGTTTTACATATTAAATAATTATTTTATTGAAATATTTTTAGTTTTAAAAAAGGACATTTTGGTAATTTACCAAAATTTTATTCTAATTCTAAAGCTACATTCTGTGAACCAAACAGAAAGATTTTAATGGGTCAAACCTGACAACCAAACATATGGTCAAACCTGACAACATTCAATTCCAATTCCTTCAAAGTCAAATTCCTTTAACAGATTTCATTTCATCCAAAAACATTTTGCGAACCAAACGCCACCTTAGGGTGTGTTTGGTGTCAGGACATGATAGGACTGGACTGGACAGAACATGATATAACAACTATTCAATGTTTGGTAAGATAGAACTGGATATAACAGTACAAGTAAAATGACTAATTTACCCTTGATGAGTTGTTTATCTTAATTAATTTATGTAATTTATTAAATTATAATAGAATAACTATTTTTTATAACAAAATATATCATTTGAAGTTTTCGTCAAAACAATTAAAATGACACATAATAAAAAGTTTATGTAGTTTTCTATTTTTATTTTTCTCTTTTCTACATTATTTTTTATTATTAATATATAATAAATTACATAAATTAATAAAAATATAGAAACCGTATAAAAATAATATTTTGAGGACAGTAAAATGAAAATTTAAGAAACATAAAATACAATAAATAAAATGTAAAAAAGAGACCTATTTGATGTTTTAGAAGAAAATTAAGTTTTATTTTGAGGTTATATTGACAAAATATAAGTATGTTTCACCTTGTTCCACCCTGTTCCATGGGGTAGGGATGGAACAGGCCTGTTCCACTTTGTTCTACTATGTTCCACATAAAATTCATGCCAAACATGGGACAGGGATCCTTGTCTTGTTCTGTATCGTCCATGTCTAGTGTACCAAACGCACCCTTATTGGGTAAGATTTTTGGTCATCGTCATACTTACTCGGTAAGGTAACTAACGATCAGTGAGCGTTTGATAAACGACCCCTCAGTTAAGTCTAGATTGGGCCCAATAGAGATGTTCGATTGGAAGGCTCGACTAGGAAGTCGATCTTTCAAAGAAACAACTTCCTCTTGGATTATAGTATGAATGTTCGATTGGGGACGTTACAGGACAAAAACTTATTATCCCACGTTTTGCACAATATTAGATTAGGATAGAACATGCAGGGATAAAAATGCTATTTTTTTGTCCCAAAATAAGGTGGAACAAAATCAGGAATATAAACAAGATTAATTATATTTTAGATTTTTTATATTTCAAAATGAGATGTTTATCCTTTATTTGATTATGTTTATCCGCAGTTAGTTACATGAATTCAAACATGGAGTTTTAATAAGTTGTACTTATGCATAATTTACTTGTAATCTTGAATTTTAAGTAATATACAGTACTTCATGCATAAAAAAAATGGTTTTTAAGAGTTTTTATCAATTATTTTATAATATAGCATAGATTTATGGAAATATAATATAAAAATCATGAAAGGAATTAAATTATTTTTTATTAATTAATATTACAAAAATAAATATTTTTAACATATTTTAAAACATTATTAAAAACAAATTTTATGAAATCACCAACTTCACCGATGGGATTTCTAAAACCCATGTTTGCAGGATTTCAAAGAAATTTCGGAATTTTACATCAAATTATTCCTTCAAGGATTGATTCCAATCCCTCCAAATTCTATCACATCCCGCAAACCAAACGGGATTTAAAACCTTTCACAATTCTTTTATCTATCTACCTCACTTTCATCCTACAATCTCATACCGCCTTATCCCGTTTCGTGGCATACCGAACAAACCCTTACGAGAGTGTCAAATATTTAACAAAGCTGTCGTTCCTGTTAAGTTCAACGAGACCGACACATTGAACAAGGATTCGAGCGTTTTGTGAATTTCCGGTGCCCGAAAATGAGATATATCACCGGAAACGAATTCTTTGACCATGCCATCAACTTCCACCATGCTGCAACCGGGCGTTTTCTTCATTCCGAATCGTGCAATCATCCTTCGGACCTCTTCGGCCTCTCGTTTCCATCCCGCTTCCTTATACATGTTATAAGAAACAACATAAATCCCATAATCACTTACTCCGATCTCGACTAGCTTTCTCCATACTCGGTTTCCAATCCCGACATTCCCATAAGTTCTACACGCACCAAGAACCGCCCCCCAAACGTTCGCATCCCCTTTCCCAACTCCTCCCAACTTCTTCTCCACAAAATCCATGGCTTCTTCCAACATCCCGGCTCGAGCCAAAAGATCGACCACACACGCGTAATGCTCGAACTGTGGTTCGACTCCATAGATTTTTTCCATTCGGTTAAACAACTCGAGCCCTTCTTTAACCAATTTGGCGTGTGTGCATGCTGTGAGTATAGCTACGAATGTGGTTGGGGTTGGTTGAATCTCGATCGATGCCATTTGATCTAAAAGTTGTAGTGACGTTTTTGCTTCACCGTTCATTGCCATCCCGGAAATTATGGCGTTCCAGGCTCCCATATCTTTCACGGAAATCGTGTTGAAAACGGATAACGCCAAATCGGTACAACCGCATTTGGAGTACATGTCCACTAATGCAGTAGCGAGGATTGGGTTCGAAGAAAGATTGTGTCTTTTGGCGTAAGAATGAACCCATAACCCTTGTGCAAGTGCACCGAGATGAGCACAAGCCGTAAGAACACTCACGAGAATTGATTCGTTTGGTTTTATACCCGAATCTTGGAGTTCCGTAAACAAAGAAATGACGTTTTCGAAGTCGCTGACCCGTGAATATGCAGCCATTATCGAGCTCCAAGAGATCACGTTTCTTTGAGGCATTTCATCAAATAACTGGTGTGCGTTCTTCACATCCTCATTCTTACCATAACCATCAATTAAGGTGGTCCATAAAACCACATCTTTAACAGGAATTTCATCAAACAGCTTCCTTGCATTACCAATTTCGAAATTTGCAGAATAAAACTCAATCAATGCACTACCCACGAATCGATCATCCTCAATTCCCAATTTCATAACATGCCCATGAACCGAACAACCAATTAACTTCGCATTCGCAATACTCGAACAAGAACAAGCTTTAATCAATGGCGGAAAGGTGTAATTATTAGCTACAAGACCAAACTTTAACATCTCGGTATAACATATAATTGCACAAACTTTATCGTCATTCTGTAGATAACCTCGGATCATGGTATTGTACATGAAAGTATTCCGAAATCGAAGGTGATTGAAGATCAAACGAGCATAAGAGAAGAAAGAAGGATTGTTGGAGGTGGCAGCGGCTGACAGAAGTGGTCCGATGGCAATGGGGTTTTCCGGCAGGTGAGACTTGATGAGATGGGCATGAAGTTGTTTGAATTGATTTAGGGTTTTGCATTTCAGTGAAAGGGTTTTCACGGTGGCGGTTGAACAGGTTTCAACGGCGTTCCCGATCATTTGAAGACGGCGGGACACGCAGTCAACGTATCTGCCATTATATAAATACAACTTCAAATTCCGTTTTAAAAATCATTTGATGATAAAATTTAGGGATATAACCACAAGGGTGGTGTCTGATTGGTTTGAGTTTGACTTCGGTTAAAAATACCTGACGGTCCAGTTTCAAATCCTAGGAGGAATAAAAATCCCCTTGTGGCCATGGAGATTCAAATGCGGTGACTCCGGATTATCTGTAAAACAGGTGGTCGTCCTGAGATTAGTCGCTTCGTATAGCGGGTTAGATATACATGTTAATCAGAAAAAAAATTAGGGGATATTTGGTTCTGGATTAAATTGATTGGATTTTATCGAATTTCATCGTATATAATTGAATGATTTGGATTCCATTTCGTGATGAATGTTATAATTCGGTTCTAAAAGAAAAAACTCAATTTAACCAACATGTCCGCCTCCATTGTCGTCGTCATCACCATCGCTACCGCCAATGAGTATTATCATTCCACCACCCTCCCATTGCCACCTCACCCACTCCACCTTCTCTGCTGCCACCACCCTTAAAGTGTTGCCATAACTGTTAAGGGTGTTCAAAAACCCGACTAACCCGATCAAACCAACCCAACCCAACGTAAAATAACTCAATCCGATCTCTAATCGAGTTGTAAAATTGTCAAATCGTATGTATTGGGTTGGTAATGGGTTACTATTATTTGAACCCAACTCAACCCGATGAACCCGATATCATTTTATTTCTTGGATTTAATATGATAGTTGAATTTCTATTAATATATACATTAGACAATTACACTTTCATGCATGCTCTTCATATACACATATTTTCAATCTATTCACATCTCTATATAACTCATTCGTATATATGTTCAGTAACTGTGAACATATATTTGTAAATTAAGAAAATTAACTGAATGTGATATACGTAAGAAGTATGAATAAGTTGTATCAAATGGTTGATCACGAAAAAGAAATTATGAGTAGAGAAATAACATATTCAAGATTAGAATAATATTTTAATGTACCAAATTATCAACCCGACCAACCCGTACAGATTAGATTGGGTTGCACTTTGGTTTAGGTTGGGTTGGATTAAGATTTTTCAAACCGCAAGCATTGGGTTGGGTTATTCAATGTCTTCAACCCGATCAACCCAACTCATGAGCACCCCTAATAACCGCACCCACACACCCCATCTCACCCCATCGTCACCGCCACGTCACTACCGTTCACCACCACAACCGCCACCCCCACCTGACACCACCACGCGATTATTGTCGTCAGCACAACCCCCTCCCTAAACCCTACCACATGGACATTCTAGTTCTTTTGCAAAATTCAATTCTAATTCCTACCAACCAAACGCATAGTCAAATTTCATTTTAATTTCTTCAAAGTCAAATTTCTGTTAATGATTCCAATGCCACCAAGTTCCATTCTGCGAACCAAACGTCCTATTAGAGTAAATTACAGATTTGTTTGTTTGTAATCATCAAAATCGAATTATCGACATTTGGCACACTTACACCAATAGTTATTTACGACGGTTATAACAGTACAAACTGTCTTGTCATTAACATACAACTAAAAATGTCGTGTGAAACATCATATCAAGTTACATTTGATACGTATAATTTACGATCTTAATCCTCGGAAACTTGAACTATCCTTTTCCCGACATTATACCCATGAAAGAGTCCGACAAAAGCTGAAGGAACCGTTTCCAAGCCTATTGAGACATCCTCAAGCACGTGCATTTTGCCTGTCCGAACGTGATCAATGGTCATGGAAGCAAACTCGGGAAACAAACTCATGTAATCACCAGCTAAGAATCCTTGGATACTGATTCTCTTGTATATGATATTCAACATATCGGGTGCTGCACGTTTTCCAGTGTCTGTGTACTCCGAAATGACACCACAAACTGCAACCCTACCCTTCAAGTTCATGTTCAAGATCGCTGCCTCCAACATCCCGGCTCCCACATTATCGAAGTATATATCGATCCCTTCAGGGAAATACCTGAAATAAACGAAATCGGTGATCAGTGACCACAAAAACCGCAAGAAAAAGCATGACCATTCTACAGTCAGACGAGCATAGAATTCAGACCTCTGGAGAGCTAAATTTAGATCGGTTTCTTCCTTGTAGTTAAACGCTTCATCAAAACCGAGCTTTTCTTTAAGCAATTTCACCTGAAACTCAAATTACAATGATTAAAGCAACGTTTTCTTTGAATTGTGTCGGATTCTTCGAAAGATAAAGCTCGAGAATCTAACGAGATATGGGTTTAAATTAAAAAGGGAAAACCTTTTTTGGGCTTCCAGCACAGCCCACAACATAACACCCAAACAGTTTAGCATATTGGCCCACCAAATTTCCTACAGATCCAGAAGCAGCAGAGACAAATACTTTTTCACCCTTTTTGGGCTTACATATTTCAAAGAGCCCAGCATAAGCAGTCAGCCCACTAAGCCCTGTATTTCACAATTAGCACACATATGTTATATATATATATATATGTATATATACATATACATATATCTATACACCTAATAAATAAGTAACTTGGGTAACATGTATCATCTTTTGGTAAGTCGTTTATCTTATTTTCCCGCCTAAACATGTATCTAGACACAATTTACATTAGTGGTTCAAAGAGGCCTATTTGGTTGACATATGTCCCTCTAAAAATGTATCTTTTTTTTTATCGTGGTTTAACTGATTTCCTTACTAAACGAGATTTAGTTCAGACTAATTTCCTTCAGCTAATCTAACAGCTTATTGTTGACAGCCTTCAGCTTATCGTGACAGCTTTCAGTTTATCGCTAACAGCTTATCACTGACAGCCTTCAACTAATCTGGCAGGTTATTGCTGACAACCTTCAACTAATTTGACAGCTTTCAGCTTATCACTGACAGCCTTCAGCTTTCAGCTAATCTGACAATTTATTGCTGACAACTTATCACGGACAAACTTCAGTTAATCTGACAGGTTATTGCTGACAGCCTTCAGCTTGTGTTTTCAGCTGGTCGTGGCAGCTTTCAACTGATCGTGGCAGCTTTCAGCTATCACTGAAGAGGCAGCTTTCAGCTTATCGCTGACAGCTTATCGTGACAACTTTCAGCTATCACTTGCTGATGTTGTCAAGAAGTTTTGTAAGACGAGTTTTGTTGGTTAACATGCCGTCTATAAAAGGTTTTTTTTGGCCAAAAATATGTCTATATTTGTTTAAAATAACACATGTAATTTTATTCTAGGGTTAATTTCATTTTAACTAATTATTGATATAGTTTCATTTCTAAATTCAAGTCTGAAGAGTCATATTTCAGAGTTATTTCAAGAGTACAAATGAAGTAGCATTGTACTTTCGATGATCATTCATATCTGTAAGATAAGTTCCTGACATGATTTGATTTTTTCAAATTACTCCGTGTAATACACGGGATCGAACCTAATGTGTATGTGTGTGTGTGTGTGTGTATATATATATATATATATATATATATATATATAGAGAGAGAGAGAGAGAGAGAGAGAGAGAAGCAAGGAGAAGGTCGTCAACTTGTGAGAAGGGCCCGAAAAATTCAGACATTTTCTTAGGTTTACTGAAAAGAGGTTTGAAAGACCCGGAAAAACTCAAGCCTGGTGCATATCTAAATGTATACGAGAATACATAAGTAAATGTATTTTTAACTAAAGATGGCTAGAAATTAGTTTTGAGTCGGGCGAGTCTCAAATTGGTATCTTCAAAATCGGCCCGACTGGTGCCGACCAAAAATCCTAGAACTGATCCTAAGCCCGGTCCTATTGGTCCTGAATCCGGTTCGCAACCAAACCCATTTTTGAAATAGTTTTCTTAAATCTTGTTTACATACAAATGTTATATGTTTTCTTATAATTACGACTTTTGAAGTTTAGAATTGAAATACACTTTAAATGATACATTTACTTAAAAAAATCTTGAGAAACTAAAAAATTTGAAAATCTTGAAAATCAGGTACAATTGTATTATAATGTGTAAAGTCAAACGAAAACTTGAAAAATCAGTCTTGTACATAACTGGTCCTGGTCCTGGTCCTGGTCCCGGTCCAAGGTCAGACCAAGACAAGCCTTGAAATTTGATAAAACTTATAACCGGTCCAAACCGTCAGACTATAACCAGTCACAATCAGTTCCGAGCCAAACCATGCCCGATTTAACTACGGGGCCGTTTACCAAACACTTACCCGATAAGTGCTTATCGGTAAAATTTAACACTATTATTTACTTACCGGGTATGATTCTAGTCCACCAAAACGACATTGTATACAACAATTTACCGGTAAACGCTTACCATGGTAAGAGCCATCGTTCTCACTTACCAGATAAGACTCTTGGTTCTTGTCTCGCTCTTACTAGTTAAGATTCTTGGTCCTTACCATATTCATTGGGTGAGGTAGTGTGACTTAATAAGAGCTTTATCCAGATAAACATTTGGTAAACGGGCCTTACATCTACTTATAACAATTAAAGTTAATAGAGTGAAAATGTACTTACCTAAAAGCCCAACATGGTATGACAATGGTAAGCCCATTGGGTCCAATTTGCTTAGGATCACCCCTTTTGATATGCTATACTCTCCCCAACTTATAAGCCCCACAACATAATCACCCTTTTCAAATTCTTGATTCCCAGAAGCTACAACTTTCCCCACACCATAAGCATCAATCACCTAAACAAATCCAATCCAATTAGTCAAACGTACAACTTTTAATGCATAAAGTACATCGTTCAGTATAGATCTAACCTCACCGGGCTTAATGCCCACGGCAAATTCCGAAGTCTTTTGGCTGTCGCTGAGCGTCTTCATCCGGTTAACCTGATACGGGTCGATGGATACATAAAGATTCTTGATGATGATGTCTTTGGATCCGGGTTTAACCGTCAGGGAAATCAGTTCAGTCTTGAACTCGAAATCACTCTCTTCTGGTGCACCGTCTACTTGAGCCTTTATGGCTACGTACTTGTTTGTAACCTCCATTGACAACCGTTGTTGTTGGATGACTAAAAGACGATATTAGTGAAATATGAAAAATATAAGCTTCCAATCTGTATATTTATAGAGACAAAAATACGTGATATTGCATTTTAATAATAGTACCAGGGACATATGACAAAAGGGGTATAAAAAGATGCTTTAGAATTAGTTTATAGGTATCAACCAGTACATACCAGATTAGATCAAGATTAGTAATATAAATCTTGAATAAACTATTATATTATTAAAAAAAAAAAAAGTGTATAACTAAAGCATATTCAACACTTGCTATTAAAAATTCTAGAGTAAATTACCTATTTTGCCCTTATGTTAGTTAGAGTGACTTAATCCACAACAAATTTCAAATCATAGTGACCAAAAATGTAATAAACGAACCGTAGGAATCTTAATCATAGTTTCCAATAAAACACACAGACCAAATATGTAAATTTATCGAATCTATCTAATATACGAAAAAAGGGTTTTTTTTTTTCCTTCTAAATTTGTCCTTTCAATTACAAAAACACGTTCATTCTATCTATTATAAAAACCTTACTTAACAAAAACATTCTCAATCTACATAGACAGATTAATCTATATAGACAATTTTATTCATACAAGACTTAATGTAAAACTAATCAAATAGCCTCTAAGTCCACACGTCTTCACAAATTGTTTTACTAAGGGGCCGTTTACCAAACGTTTATCCGAGTAAGCGCTTACCAAGTCACATTATCTTACCGGATGAATATGATAAGGACCAAGAATCTTACCCGATAAGAGCGAGACAAAGGACCAAGAATCTTACTCGGTAAGAGTGAGGCAAAGGACCAAGAGTCTTACCCGGTAAGTGAGGACGACGACACTTACCACAGTAAGCGCTTACCAGGTAAATTGTTGCGTATGATGTCGTTTTGGTGAACTAAAATCTTACTCAGTAAGAAAATGATAGTGTAAAATTTTACTGATAAGCGATTATCAAGCAAGTGTTTGATAAACAGCACCTCAAAAGGGTAAATAATTATTTTAATATTGGGATTTTTAAAAGAATATCATATGCAATAATTTTTAAAATTTTGAAATCGTGATAAAAAAATGTTAACAGATCGGCTTAGCCTAAACTCGACCCGACCCATTTTACTTGTTATCGAACCCATCGACCCATCGACCCATCGAATAGCATCTCTATTTTTTCATGACGTTAACAACTATAACGATGTTAATAATAATAATAATAGTAATTTTAGTTAATAAATATTTTTAATTAATTTGTTTATTGTTGCCGGCTAATTTAAATAAACTTGAGCAAGATGCCTCATGTAGGCTGGCTTAACATGTAAGTTACAACTACCATCCAACTTTTTGATTATTTAATTAATACTGAAATTAATTTTAGAGTAAATTACGGTTTTGACCTTTACGTTTGTCGATTTTCATCGTTTGGCTACTACACTTGTTTACTCGAATTTTCTCGTCTTAGTTTGTCATTTTTCTCGTATTTATTCTCTTCTTTTGATGACCGTTAACTTACATTTATTAAACAAGGGTATTTTTGTCTTTTAGCATTTTCCCTCATCTCCTTCTCGTTTTTCCTATGTGACCATGTTGCCACTGTTGCGGCCTCGGTGATGGGGGGAAGACGAAGATCAGGGCCTTACGTGTGTATGAGAGATGAAAAGAACAAGAACAAGATGCGCCTCACTTAACCAATGAGCATTAAAAGTCGTTAACGGGAGGGACCTAATCCGAGCAAATAGGAAACCACAGTGGTAAAATTGGAATAAATAAATTGTACAAAAATCGATAAACCAAAGTTTCGAGCAACACAAAATGGGTTCATGCCGTTACGGATTTTCATTTCCAACTTTCTTATTACTAGGTTTGACTTTTATCGTTTTACTCGTTCATGATATTCACTTTATATGAACAATTATTTCTCGTCTTTCACATGTTGTCGAGTGGATCCGCTACACTACCCTCAAGTTACCAAAGACATTCTACTAGGGTTGTATTTAGAATCAAAGTTTCGTGATTTTTACGATAACGTATTGTCAGGGTTTCTAAGGATGTTACAGTATCAAACACGGATTACATGTGACCATGACCATGTTCATATCATCTTGTATGACATACGGAACATATATCAACATTAATTTGCGGTTAGTGGTCCTACGGGAAAGAGTGGTTCCACTAATAGCGACATTGATCACCGCAATTTAGATTTGCAATAACGGTGTGAAAACCGCAATTAGGAGTTGAAGTTTCATTTGGCATTTTAAAGGGTTTGGATTAGTCAGTTAAGGGATTACGAAGCTAGGAGGCTGATTTTGATTTGCAATATTGGTGTGTAAACTCGCTATTCTCTCTCACCTCTTCTGTTTTAGTGATAGCTATATTTTCTTGGTTGAAAATTAAGGTTAAAAAGCTTTTTATTTTCATCATTGTGAAAAAAAATGTGTTTACTTAACCTATGTTTTTTTCTTTTGTAGTGTCCAGCCCAAAAAGAAATGACAAAAGCCCAACTTGTGACCTATGTTTTGTGGACTTCATCAAGCCCAAATAAAGCCCATATTCTCTCCCAATTTTGGATCGGCCAGAAGCAGACGTAAGAAGGAAGGAGGCGACTTCTGTTCGTGGGGGATCGATTGAGCAAGGACGTGGGTTTGATTGAGAGAAATCATGGGATCGGTTCGATTGGGAGGAGACGGTCGCAAGGGAGATAGTCGCGAGGGTGGAAGAAAGCGGCAAAGGGCTGTTCGATTGGGAGGACTTCACCATCAATTTCTCATCACTTTTGGTAATTTCTTTAATTTCTTAGTTTGTTAACCCTAGATTAGTCATGTGTGGCTAATMTCTTCATTCCAACATTAGCCACTTTAGATTTTGATGTTTTCCCACTTTGAGATTTCRTTGTAATYGTTTGGGACAAGTTTATTTGTTGGATTTCTAGGTTAAATGTCAATTTCACTTTGAATGTTAAGTTATTTGGCCAATTATTTGATGTTCTTGTGAATGTTTGTTAGTCAAAATATTAAGATACGTAATTGTCTATTGGTTTTGATTAAGTGACAATTGAATTCTTTCAATTTCAGTAAGGTTTTTGAAATGAGTTCTTGAAATCTTACAATCAAAGCGGTATTAAGCCGAGCTTATGAGCTTAATGTTTCGGGTCGTGTTTTCTTAGTTCGTTAAAGCTAATTACATCGGGGATTGTGAGAGCTTGTTCATTATGCCTTTTGTAGTTAAGATTTAGTTAAAGAGCTTATTTTAGCTAATGTCTAATTAAGTGAAAACATAGGTTGTTAGAGCTTATTGACAACTATAATCGGCTTAATCTTGTCCTATTCCTTTATAAATTGTGAAATCAATGATAAGTGTTCAACATCATTATTAAGAGTGGTCTAACGTTGGGTTTTTAATTTCTTGCATTTTTATAAGTTTTTAATTTTCATGTCTAGCTTAATTAATCAAATCCAACCCCCCTTTTTTTCGTATTTATTTTATTTGTTCGTTCTTGTACTTGAATTTAGTGGCTATAACAAGTTAAAACTGAGTCTCTGTGGATACGACCCGACTTACCGCTATTACAATTTTTGTTGTAATTAGCCAATAGTTGGAATTTTTATATTTGGTGGACTCGGCATCCGTCATTTAGTCTACTATTATGCATGTTTTATTCACAACATTGTCTTCCAGCATCAATTACTCGTCATCTCTTCTATTCACGTGTTCTTATGTTCATCTTCAAAATTTATGTTATGTTATGTTATGTTATGTATATATTCATACTTTTATATATACTAGTTGTATACCTACGCAATGCAGCAAGAGTCGTGGATTTTAATGATTTTGAAGTTTCAGTGGTTTTATTAGAGAAGATTTAACGATGATATACGTTACACTTGGTCTTTACATATTAATACAATTTGAATAAATAAGAGTTATTTTTCAAATTACATTCTATCAATGAAAGAAATTGTATGACAGTTTAAAATCCAACATATTTAAACGACTCCACAAATGTGTTCGATTTACACCAAGAGCAAAGAATCAAGAGATCGAGAGCGAGGCCGATAGTTCTAGAGCAATTGAATGGGAGAACTTTTAATAACTCATGGTAAATATTAGTTTGAATCTCACATTGGGGATAGGGAGAAAACATAGAGGTATGAGAGGGTGAAGGCATGAGTGAAAGGTGTCAAAAGTATCTTGGAAACATGAAAAGAAAAAATAATAATATGCAGTGGTAACTTGCACTATATGTTATTTTAATTGTAGATTAAAAAATTTTAAGACTGAATGCATAAAGTAGTAGTACTTAATGCATTATGAGTTGTTTTTAAGACTTTTAAGACTTTGTGCATAAATGTCTAATACTTTATGGGTCTTAGGGACCGTTTACCAAATGCTTACTCGGGTAAGTGAACACGAAGTCACATTACCTTACCGAATACACTCCTCTGCCATGCTCCCAATAGGTAGAAGAAATAACACAAACCGACAACTATTAGTATAGTAACGGAACTCCTAGTCCTATTGTCTCCTGAATTAGCCGGTCAGTAAAAGAAACAACGAACTAATCGTCCAATTCATATAAATAATTAAAACACACAATTGCACTAAAAGTCGAGAAAAGACAGATCAAGTGAATACACAATTGCACTAAGGGTCTGTTTTTTAGCAGCTTAATAAGTTTAATGGAACTCGCAGCTAATTCAGTAAGCTATACATGATTTTTTTTTGCAGCGATTTAATGATATAGAAAGTGGCTAATCGGTAAGCTTCTTTACGTAGAAAGCCAAATTTTTCCATCTATGAAAAAACCCTCCCAAACAAAAACCTTCTCAATCTATGTAGACAGATTAATCTATACAAAATTTAATGGAAAACCAACCAAACGACCACTAAAAATAGATTGGGGATTTTCATGAATCCATTAATGTCTCCCACTATATTCTATCAAACCTTGCAAAAAAATTATAGAACAATAACTAAAATTCGTTTTTTTCAAAAATTAATGCAATAAAATCTATTTTTCATTTCAAATCTCGTTTTCTTTTAAATTTAGATATCTAATTGAAGATTTTTTCAAAAAAATCCAAATTAACACAATAAAAATTGTTTTTTACTAATGCAATAAAAAATCAATTTAATAGAAAAAAAATTAATTGATACAATAAAAAATAAATATTAAATTCAAGATTTTTATATCTAACCAATCCGTATCAATATTAAAGTTTAAATCAAATTTGTCAAATCAAACCAAAAGTTTGATAGAGCCTCTTAAATTACCTATTACCTGTTCAACAGATCAATCAGACCTTAAAATAAACAAAAAAGTTTGATAAAGACCCCTAAATAATGATTTTGAAAGTTGGTTCCCTAAAATAGGAATTAAGTGAGTCGGTTCAACAGATCAATTTTGTCTATTGTCGAATATTTTTAATAGAAAAAAGAAAGGTAACAACTTACCAAAATGGTTTTGGCGCACATGGGATTGCCAGAGAAGGTAACCATTGGAATTAAAGTAATGCATCACAAGATGTACATTGTGCTTTATAATTTGTAATTAAGAGTTTTTTTGAAATCTAAGCATAAAATGGCACTACTTTATGCTTTGTGATTTGTAATTAAGATATATGTCTAAATGCTTATTGATGTAGTATAGATATTTGTAATTATTACATGAATCACTATTTGTGGACTGTTATACTGTCGTTTTACCATCGTGATAACCGCTATATCAAATCATGGTCCTGACTGCTATTTCAAAATTTGACCGTTATAACAGCATGGCAATTTTGAATGTTGATGAGACAACCTATTGTTGTTTTATCTGGAACCATTACCTCATTAAGGGGGTGTTTAGGATTGCTTATAAAAACAATTTATTGACTTATTCCGGTGTGACACCGGTAATAAGTACTTTTGAGTGTTTGGATAAACAACTTATACCGGTGCCAAACCGGTAATAAAGAGTTTTTTAAGAAGTTAAACCCTTCTGACTTATAATAAGTTTGATAAGTGTTCTTATAGAAAAACATAAGTTGTTTCAAATAAGCAATCCCAAACACCCCCTAAATCTTAAACTAACTACACAGAGATGGACCCATAAGAATTTTTTTTTTGTATTATTATGGTGGGACCATTTAACCTTATGAGTTAATACAAAGGATCGTATCAGAATAAGTTAAAAGTAAAAAGCGTAAGAACGGATCTGGATGCGGATCACTTTTAATCTCACCTTCACCCCATGAATTACACTTATCATGAAAACTGATCTGGTGCATATATATGCACCGTATTAGTGTTGATCTTCAATTAAGATTGATCCAATTGTAGAGAAGGTAAGTTCTGTAAAAAATAAATTTTAACCTAGGTAGCTTTTTTTAACTTTTTGATTGGGGGCGGAAATACGTTGTCTTCGCCCCTCTGCATGTAATATATTTACATAATGGAAAACTCAAATATCAGATATCTTTACATACATTATTTTTTAGACTTGGGATCATGTGAGACCAATGGTTTTTCGTGAGACCCGTAAGAGAAATTCTCAACCATTGGATTAGATCTACAATCTGAACGTTCATAATCACAAAATTGTCACGAGACTTCTCAATAATCACAAAATTGTCACCGTGCAACTTTAGACCATTAGATCATTAACTTATAAAGTTGATCAATGAACATAAATTAATCTTACGGGTCTCACAGAAAACCAGAAAACCATTGATCTCATGTGAACCCAACCCTTATTTTTTAATCTATATTTGTTTATGTTTGTAAAGAATATGCTGATATGCATAAAAGATATTTTTTCCCCTTACCCCCAAAAACCATATATTTTCTTGAGATTTTTGGCTTTTAAAAGTGAAATGACAGAAATACCCTTCATAGTTGTGATTCCATCACTAATCTCTAGGGGTAATTTTGGCAAAAAAAAAAAACTAAAATCCCTCTTATCTGCTTGCAGGAAAAGGGTACCTCAAAACTCTCTTCAAAACCTTGAAGCCATCATCACATAATACTCTGCAAAAATCTCCTCAAGAAAATGTCTTCTGCTTTCTGTTCTTCCCCAATCTGTTCCTTCATTTCCCCAACCAAACCAAGTACTCTCTCTCTCTCTTTCTCTCTCTCTCTCTCTATGTATATGTATATGTATATGTATATGTATATGTATATGTATATGTATATGTATATGTATATGTATATGTATATGTATATGTATATGTATATGTATATGTGTATGTATGTATATAGTACATGACGATGGTTTCTTTAGGGTTCTAACGAATTGATGATAAATGCTATAGGGCTGCTGATTGGTGGGAACCCCAATGCTCAAGGAGTGATCTTGATCAACAATTTGACCAATCAGAAGTCAAAATTGGCACGATTTCAAGCTTTGGAAGTCAAGGTCAGACCTTTTTTAAATCAAAACACTTTCATACTTATCCTGATTTCATCACAAAATCTGTTTACATTTGGGGATTGAATGCCTCCAGAAATTGGGATCCCATTTGGGTAAAATCTTGAAAGCAATGATAAAGAACCCTTTTACCAAGGATGTAACATGTAAAATTAACCACAAGGGTGGTATTTGATTGGTTTGAGCTTGGCTCCAAAAAGATTAAAAAGTACCGGGAGGTCCTTAGGTTCAAATCCAATGAGGAATAAAAATCCCCTTGTGGGCCACGGAGGTTCAAATGCGGTGACTCCGGGCTATCTGCAAAGCAGGTTGTCGCCCTGGGATTAGTCAGCTCGCATAGCAGGTCGGATATCCAGGTTAATAAAAAAAATATGTAAAATTTTAGAAGGTTTTCAAGATTTCTTGAAGCTCTTAGTACTAGCATTCACACTAGATATGCATAAAAAAGCCCAAGCATGAATCTCGGGTTTGGGCTAGGCCTCGAATTTGGGGTCAAATCGGGCCTAGGCCTTACTTGATAAAGCCGGGAAAAGTTTGGTTAAGCCCGACAAAGCCCAAAAAGGCTTGGAATGAAAAAGTCCGACCAAACTCTTTTTCAATCAAACCGCTCGGGCCTTTTTTTCCTAACTGAAAACGGGATTAGAAGGCTCCGGCCTTGTGCATGAAATATTTTAATACCAAGCATGGGTTTTATATAAAAGTGTTAGGGGTTGTTTGTTTACCTCTTAATAGTTTCATTAAGAGGCAATCTTTGAATCGTTAAGAGGTGAATCTTGTTTGGCAGAGAAAAAGTATGTCTCTTAATGGTTATAAAACCCTTTGAATGATTTTATATCCTAGGTCTCTCTTGACCAGTCAGCGCCCTAATTTCATTAGAAACAATTACCAAACAATTATATTTCATTTTGCATTATATCACGAGAGTCTCTTAATCATTCTGCACCAAATCATTCAGCAATTGCCAAATTAGGTTGTTAAAAAGACGTATTTGGGACTTCTAACCAATTTTTAATACAATTTTGAAATAAAGAGTCATATTGGTTTTATATATGACGCTTTTGAAAAGTGTCGTATAAACACATTCTTTTATAGCAAACTTGTTTTTACACGATATATTTTCAAATAATATCATATATAACACTAATAGAATGTTCTATTTCAATGTTATCCTAAAAAACTTGTTAGTTACGTTCAAAAACGGCATATCAATTTTTGCAGACACTTTTACATGTAATTGTAATTGTCTCAAATTGTAAACTTAAGTTCTATAAAGCAGTCTATTATAACGTATAGACATATTTAACGTTCTTTAAAGCTGATTTTGTTATAATGTTATGAAGAGTTGGGTTTCATGTGCGAGTTTTGCAGGCTACTAGTGATACCGAAATCACCACGAAGACGAATAGCATAGTTTGCGGAGATTGTGAAGGAAATGGTAATGAAACATTCCTCAAAAAAGCCTTGAACAAAGAACGGACGTTCCAACATGTATTTAAGAGAAATGACTCCAACATGCCCCCTGCAACAGAGGCTAGACGGGCAACGATTGTCCAAGAGTGTCGATTGTCGACTGTCGAGCCCCTAGAGTAGTAGTATCGAAACTCATCAGCAATCTATACTCGTCTAGCCCCCTCTTGACACTATGGGACAATCTGTGTCCGTTTAACCTATGTTGGAGTCTCAAATCGACTAGACTTGGACAATTTCTTCTCAACATATGTTGAAACTTCCTTTCTCTTCTCAAATGTCGTTTTGGGGTTGTAATTACGTTTTTGCCCTCTTGAATATTAGGTACTAAACAATGTACACAATGCAAAGGGAATGGAGTGAACTCGGAAGATCACTTCGATGGACGATTCAAAGCCGGTGGATTGTGTTGGCTTTGCAGGTTTATTATTGTCATATATATTGATCTTTTTCGACTTCCGATTGGTACCCGATTTGAATTATTGTTTCAATAAACATTGAAATCATGTCAACTGGTTTTTGCCGAGTGGGTGCACCTTTAAAGTGGATCAAAGACTCGCAAAATCGTCCGATATGTTTTCAACCGAATTAAATCGTGTCGTGAGATTTTTAAGTTTCTTTTGTTGATTTCAAGAGACTTTTCAGACTTTTTTTAGTGATTTTGAGCGACTTCTGTTTTTAGTGTTTTTGTATATATTTTGTGAAAAATAGTCATTTTGAGGTTGTCTAGTTGGTTTTTCATTAAGTCATGTATGAGTAAAGTTGTATGTGTGGATTAATCTGTCCATATAGATTGCGAAGGTTATCGTTTGCGAGGGTTTTTCATAGATGAAAGGAACGTATTTTTTGTTTTTAATCGAGAGAAACAAGTTTGAAAAAATCTTGGCTTTTTGTATAAAGCTCCCCATCCTAGAAGTTTTCTGAACGAATCACTTTCTATACCATTAAACCACTACCAAACAGTAGTATATAGCTTACCAAATAAGCTATAATTCTCATCTAAAAGTGGGTATTTTTGTAATTATCCCTTCATAACTCATGTAAGAAGATGAAGGTACAACAAATAATGCATAGTGAACACGTGTCGTTTGCATGATTGTGCAGGGGTAAAAAAGAGATTCTTTGTGGAAATTGCAATGGAGCTGGATTCAGGGGTGGATTCATGAGTTCTTCTGATCAATAGAAACAATATGCTTATTGTAGGCAGCAGTTTTGCTCATTTCGAATGCTGTTGACTTTGTCTTATTTGACTATAATGAAACAACCGTAAACGGCCACCGGTCCACCACCTTCTGCCACCGTGGCTCCGGCGAAACCGTTATCAGTTTGTTATAGTTCTTGTGAGTCAGAACCGTAAACAATGGTGGATTCATGTTGCTTACAACCACGTTAATTATACCAATCGTTCATGTGGTTTGTTCAAACTTGGTTTTCCGTTAAGTTTTGTATGGATAAAGTTTTCTGGATGGATTAATTTGTCAGTATAGATTGAGAAAAAATTTCTTTAGGAGGATTTTCTCATAGTTGAAATGAACGAGTTTTTTAATTGGGACCTGGCTTTCTGCATAAAGCTCCCCTAAAAGCTTAATGAATAAGCATCTTTTTATATCATTAAGCCACTACCAAACAGTCATGTATAGCTATCGAATAAACTGTGAGCTCATTAAGTTGCCAACAAAGTCATTGCAGTTTTGAAATTAACCAAGACTCCCAATCGTTTCAATTTGCTTACACCATTTAGTGTTAAGTCCATGGGTTAGATGCACATTTTGGTCATTTTGTCTTCTTTACGTACTTGTACACTAAGGAGCCGTTTACTAAACACTTATTTGGTAAGTGCTTAACGCATAAATTTTCTCATCGGATGAATATGAGAAGGGCCAAGAATCTTACCAGGTAAGAGCGATGAAAAAGATGGAGAGTCTTACCCGGTAAGTGAGGATGACGACTCTTACCCAGGTAAGCGCTTACCTAGTAAATTGTTGCATTCGATATGTTTTGATATATTAAAATCATATGCATCTAAATAAATTATAGTGTTAGACTCTTATTGGTAAACGCTTACCGGGTGAGTATTTGGGTGAACGGCCCCTAACTGTTTTTTCATGTTGCTTACAACCACGCTTCAATGTCTCAAACTACAAAGGCGGATCAAACTCGGTCGTGTTTGATGGTTCAGTCTAGATTCAAAGCACGCATCATTAATGACAAAATCGGTTGGACGCCAACAAAATCATTTAGGACACAGAAGCAGATCAAGTTCGCTTTATTTTAAACATGTACCTGTTAGGACACCAACGTTGTACAAACTTATTGTTAGGGGTGTCAGATTTGTAAATCAAACCAACTAAAATGCATACCAACTGTACCAATTAAACTGGTAGGTATTACTGTACCGAGTATGTAAATTTGGTTGGTACGCAGTATGAGCAGGGGATGTCCTATGTATGTCCGAATGGGCTCCCGTGCACCCGCTCAACTTATTTTTGCAAGTAGGAATTTTGTTAAGTTATGAAAGATGCACCTGTTAAACTTTGAGGATTGCTCCGGAATATTAAAAAATATAAGAAACATCAACCAAAAAACTGAAAAGGTACTTGCAAATCAGTACCACATGTACCAATCGGAAAAACAAGGTGACATTATCATGTTCACCCTACTTATTGTAACACATGTTTATAGAACGTACAATTGTTTGATCCTACCATAAGTTTCAAGACATTTTTAACGTCTTATAAAGCCGATTTCGTTGTGGGTTAACACTCCCGAACCCCAGCAAAGAAATGCAACCACTCGGTTGATAACTAGACCGTAACACAATATCAAGAAGTATGAAACGAAAACGATCAAGAAAGTCGATACACCTGTTTTCTTCGCTTTCCTGTTCAAGATTCGATATAGAGTGTACAGATTATGCACAGAAAAGTTACACTTCTACACAAAAGGGGCCAAAAAGACAAGATCGTGTTACGAGAAAGTTTAGATCTTGGCCCGTAAAGATTACAAGTTTACAACGGTTTACTGCATCACGACAGTATCAAACGGAGGATTTCCCCAGAGAATTTGAACGATTTCTCTGTTTCTTCGAGACAATGATTCTTCTCCTCTCGAGTCCAGTTCTGTTTATAGCATAACAAATACATCAGACGTATTCTAATTCAAATTTGACGTATTCTTGCTTCAAAAAAGCAGCATGCTAACCCAAAATTACTGGTAGCCCACAACTTTGAACTTATAAAGAGATCACAAATCTACTTTTCTATTCATGTGACGGGTTTTTCAAACACACTTATCAGTTTTAGCTGGGAATTTGAAGTCGGGTATTAGTGTTTTACCTCGGCAACTATATTCAATTTGTCCCTAACGTTCTGCAAGAGTTGGGAGAGTTCGCCATCCCATTTGTAGAACTCCAATTCCTTGCCATTGAGTATCTTCTCAGCAACCTACATTTGTGAAATACGAACCATGTGAAAAAGAGCATTCCGGGTCAGCGTTTGGGGATGCAAACCATATGACCCGAGCCCAGGTGCACCAAGGTTGCTCTTTTTTAGGATTGAACCACATGGACCTCAAATTTGATCCATGGTGCACCCGGGTTCCCCTTTGAGCCATACGGACCATATGAACCTTAGTGTTAGAATACACGAAGCCCCATTAGATTACCCTTCAAAAGAGCTCAACTCCTCAAGGGAGGTTCCAACATACAAAAAGAAAAAATTGTCGAAGTCAAGCTGATGTAGGACTCTTAACACGCCCCCTCCAATGGAGGCTAGACAGATACATATCGTCTCAGATTGTCAAGAGGAGGCTAGACGAGTACAAATTGCCCCCAAGAGTGGTAGACCTTGGCTCTGATACTACGTGAGAATATGCGGGAACCAATCAAATTACTTTCCAAAAAAGCCCTTAAGAGGAGAGTGGAGGTTTTAACATATATCGGTCTAACTGATATGAGACTCTTTAACACTTAGAAAGCTACGCAACCTCAGTGCACCAAGGTTGCTCTTCATACCAACTAGACAAACCTCCGAAGGCCAAAAAGCATGGTGCACCAAGGTCCACCATTGAGCACATGAATCATATGAACCTCAAGAAGCAGAAGGGCCTTGGTGCACCAAGGCTCTCCTGTAAGCACACACACCATTCGAACCTCAAAAAACCAAGAATCCTTGACGCAAAAAGAGTTGCTTTTTAGGCAAAGATACCAGATGAACCTCAAAACCCCGAAGAGCCTTGGTGCACTAGTATCTCCTTTTGGGCATACGAACAATATGAACCTCATAAAGCTAAAGAAACTTGGTGCCCTTCGGGCATCTGAACCATATGCTCTAACAAATATACATGAATTTTTGCTGACCTTTTTCCCTATCATTCGACCACCAGCAGAGTGAGCAAAGTAAGTGTTGTAGAAGTGACAAATAAATGCTTGTGGATCTTTCTTCGATAACTCTTCAACGTATGCTGAATAACTGAGCCCCGGGGATGATGGTTCAGGTATAGAATGACCTTGTTCTTTCAACCATTCCAAATCTTTCGCCAAACTTTCCGCCCTTTCCAATCCAGTGTTCCTAAATTCAGCATCTGCAGCCAAAAATCACGAAAAGTAAACAAACGCTCTACCCTTTGGGACAGAGGACACGTCTATGTGTACATTTACCCCCCCCCCCAAAATCCTACTTTCGAGTGGGATATATTGGATTCGTTTGGTTTGGTTTAGAAAATCAAAAACTAATGACATTTTTAACCACTCAAAATGCTTATGGCTACAGATCCAAACTGTAAACTAGCAGATTCGATGGTGAAATGCATAATGAATGTTCAAGTGATTATCTCTGAAGATTTCATGATACACACCATGTTTTCAACTATTTAACACTTCATTCATAATGAATACAGTGTAAACTAGCACCCTCCCCCCTCTTACTAAGACCACAGAATGTTCTTGTGAATTATGGCCAATACAGGGTAGGGCCCGCACAAGCGGTGGAGCATGCAGTTTAATTCGTTGAAAAGATGAAGAGCCTTTTCAGATGGTGGAATATATGCATAATGAATGTTCAAGTGATTATCTTTGAAGATTTCATGATAGACACCTCATTTTTCACTATTTAGCACTAAATTCATAATGAATAAAGTGCAAACTAGCAGTTTAGCACTAAACACAAACACAGAACAAGAACTTATGATCAAAGACTTATATCAAAACTATTTGGTACCCAAATTCATCACAAAATGAAGAACATTGATCACCATATCTTAAGATTTAGAAAACTTACATTCAGGGAAATCAGCCTTATCAACAATCTTCTCAAGAGTATCATAAACCAACTTACTATCCACCAAGAACTTCAAGTATCCATCAATGGTGGGTTCCCATTTAGGCAAAGGTTTCTCCTGAGGTTCCTTTTCTCCTTCTTTAGCTTGATCTTTAGTATGCAGTTTCATAGCCACAAATCTCATCTCCTCCACAAATCCTTTTCCTTCACCTGGATACCTCTTCTTCGACTTCTCCTCCGCCGCCGCTGTCCCCGTCCCCGCCGCCGCCACCACCACCATTTTCTTGGACTTTAACACCAAAAGATTCAAACTTTGGCTAGGTTTTGAGATGGGTGTTACGAAAACTGGAGTTTTGGGGGTACATATGATATGGGGTTTCCTCAAAAAGAGCTGTGATTGGGATATTGAAGCTCTTGAAGCCATTTTTGAAGCAAGAAACTGTTTGGAAGGATTGGATTTGGAAAGATAAAAGAGTGGAGATGAACTGAAATTAGGAAAAAAGGGTTAGGTTGTGAATGATCGTTGGTTTGATTCTGTAATCTTAAAGACAAAGGAAAGCATATGTATATATATAATATTGGGGAAACAATGATCTTGTATGTGGCTATGGCGTCTTGAAGAATTCAGAAAGAAAGAGAAGAATTGTTGTTTGTAAAGGGCAGATGAATGTATGGACTCCGTATGGCCGTATCGAGATGGGCACAAAATTTTTTGGTTCTTGGATAAATCTATATGTAATATGTTGGGAGGAGAAAAATAATATATAATTTTCTTTTTTTGGAAAAGGAAGTTAAAAATAATATAAGGGGAATGTTTGACAGTTGCTGAATGGTTTAGTGCAAAATGATTAAGTGGTCGGAATGATTAAGAGACTCTCATGATATAGTGTAAAATGAAATGTAATTGTTCCGTAATTATTTACAATGAAATTAGGGCGTTGAATGGTTAAGAGAGAACCAAGATACAAAATCATTCAGAGGGTTTTGATACCATTAAGAGGCAGACTTTTTTTTGTCAAACAAGATTCACCTCTTAACGATTCAGATGATGCCTCTTAATAAAACTATTAGGAGGTAAACAAACAAACAAACCTTAAGTAGTAACGAATGAAAATGAAAATAAAAGAAATTATTTGAGATGCATCAGTCTCGAACAGCTCATCGGGAGGCAATACCAGCTCTCGGGTTTTCTATAATATAATGGGTTCATTCTCCTACAAACCCAAAATTTCATTTATGATTAAACTATGACGAATGAAAATTCATTTTCATTTTCATTCATCATCATGAGTCAAACAGACCCTAAATTTATGGCTTCCAAGCCATAGCACTCTAAATAAGAACATGGTGTCTCCAGATTTTATGTTAATCGATATTGGAGTAAACTATAAATTTGGTTTATATGGTTTTATGGAAATAACATTTTTTTTATTCGTATAATTTGAAATTTCAAGATGGTTTGTAAAAACGTACAGATTTTATCATATTTTCCAACGACTGCTAAAAAGTTTCATAAAATGAGGAGTTTTTTCATTCTTTTATCATTTTTTTTATCTTTTACTCAATCAAAAACCATAGAGACAAAAATTATGAAATCTATTTTGATTGGGTAAAAGATAAAAAAATTTGAGTAAATTACATAATTGGTCCCTGTGGTTTACATAGAATCACATTGTGCGTTCCTAAATCAAAATAATTATAAAAAACATCCATGTGGTTTATATTTTCACACGGTGACGGTGGATAGAGAGAGGGGAAACTATGGGGGAAACCCGGATTTTGTAACAAAGTAAAATTACATTCATGGTCCTTGTGGTTTTCTTAAAAGTTTTAATTAAAATATAAAAAAAGAGTAAAATGATTATGTTAAACCCAGTTTCAATCAGATAACAATAAAAAAAAATTAGAAAAACAATTTAAAGATCAAATCATCATGTATATTGATAAACTCTCTCAATACATGTTTCACTATTTACAATCTCTTTCTAGAATATTGCAATATGAGTTCTTACTAACAACTGAACTAACAAGAACTATTTATATGATTGAGTAATCATACAAGTCACACTACTGTTGAGCACAAAGTTGATTTTTGTTGACTTTAAGCTTTGACCTCTTTAATCATTAAGCTCGATGATCTCGGATACAATAATATTTAACCTAACAATCTCCCCCTTCGTATTCGAGATCGCATTCTTCAAAAGTAAATATGTTTGTTTTTACTTCAACAAATCTTTGTCTTTAACAATCTCTCTAATAAAGACAATCAAACTTTGTATAGGATGAACCTGAAAAAAACAATCGCCCTTTTTTTTAAACCAACAGAGTCTTCATATCAAAATCATCTACAATTAAATCCAATAGTTTTTCAACTTTTGATTTCGAAAATTAAATACAATTCATCTCATCAACAAACTGATTCAACAATTTACCAATTAAGCTTCACTTTTGAACATCAACACTTTCCCCAAGAGGGTGGTTGGAGAGGGGAACAAATGTTACTTTATAAGAGACTTGATACCTCACTTACTAAAAAAAAAGGTTTATTGGCGGGGACCTCATGGCCCCGTGGTCCATATTTTGTGAACCCTACTTGTCATACCTCATAAGCAAGCACCGGAAAAGACAACATGTCCTCCCTTGGAATCGAACCCGGGTGGGCTCGCCCAAGGTAAGACATTTAAGGAAGGAGGTTGCCACTAGGCCAAGGCCTAATGGTTGATACCTCACTTATTAGACGCGTTTTAAAACTGTGAATACAGATACGTAGACAATATATGGGACGTTGCAATACTTCTCTTTTGTTTATTAACTTGTATTTTCTTCAACATTTGTATCATATAAAATTCTCAAGTTACTGTATCCGTGCAATATCAATATAATTTTTTTTCAAAATACTGTATAAATTTTTGCAATTACTCTGAAATTATCTTTTACGTCAAATATTTATTAAATGTCACGTAAAAAAAACACTTATCAGCTAAATCGCCTTTTTAAAAGGTTTTGTGTTCATATATATAATCCAACACATGTGTTCAATTATGTTCCATTTTCAATATTATTATTATTATTATTATTATTATTATTATTATTATTTTAATAATTTTTAACAAACATGACAGGTCATCTTCTATTAAAAAAAGACCAATCATTTACCATTAAATTAATTATAGTATTAAAATACACATTATTAATTTGTTTCATCTAACCACCACAAAATGTCAACTTAGCTGATTATTTGAAATTTATTATCAGGATAATTTTTTTAATTAACCTGGATATCTAAATCGTTATGTGAGCCGACTAATCTTACAGCGACCATCTGCTTTGCAGATAGTTCGAAGTCACCGCATTTTAATCTCTGTGGCCACAAAAGGATTTTTATTTCTCTTTAGATTTAAACTTGTGGCCTCCTGATACTTTTGATCTTTAGAGTTAAGCTCAAATCAATCAGGCACCACCCTTGTGGTTCTTAATTATTTAGAGTTATTATTAATCCTATCAATTATTTATATATTCTTGTATATTAATATATTTAATCGTCAAAAAACAAATATAACAATTTTAAAAATATTTTAGTAAATTATATAAAAGTTAAAGTTATATTTATTTTGTTTCGTAAATAATAATATTATAATAAAAAAATTAATTTAGTTTTTTTGTAAGATTATTAATTAATTAAGATATGTAAGGTTGATCAACTTTGTTTTTATTCATATTATTTGCAATTGTTATTTATAAAAATCATTCAATGTAGATATTTTTAAATTTTGTACTTGATTACACAAATACAAAATTTATAATATTATATATAATCTATATTATATTATAAAATATTTTACGAAAACCTTTAAAAATCATTTTTATGCATGAAGTAATGTTAATTAATACATATTACTTAAAATTTCAAGATTACAAGTATATTGTACATAAGTACAACTGATTAAAGCTTCATTTTTGAATTTGTGTAACTAACTGTAGATAAACACAATCAAATACAAGATAAACATCTCATTTTAAATATAAAAACTCTAAAACGTAATTAAGATAATTATTTACTTCTAACAGAATACTTAATTATTATCTTTATAAAGAATTATATTATTAAATCAAACATAAATTACTTCATTATTAAACATAAACTAAATTATAATAAACAAAACTGAATTAAAAAATTATACAAAAAACGATAATTTTTAAATAGCTAATTTGATACTAATATCGATATATTTTTTCAAAGTTTTATGATGTTTTCAAATTTATATTTTATTCAAAAATAAAAATATTATTGTTTTCTAAAAACCATGTAAACCGTATTATATCGACATAGACAAAGAATAAACCAAAATATTAAAATCGAAATGTATCTCGCTGCATTATACAGATATCCTTCTAGTACTAGTACTACTACTACTACTAATAATGATGATAATAATGATGACAATAATGATGATAATAATAATAATAATAATACAAATTGAAATTCTATTTATTAACATATTCTATAAAATTATCTACTTTGTATATATATATATATATATATATATATATATAGAGAGAGAGAGAGAGAGAGAGAGAGAGAGGGGGGGGGGGTGAGTTATTATGAACCCTTTATATTTGTACAATCAATACAACTCAATCTCAACCGTCCATTTTATTTGATGAGTATATGATTTCATAAAAGTTTTGATTGTTTCATAATATAAAGTATTGATCATAATTAATAAACTATAGTCATCTTTCATAAATATTTAAATTATAATAAATGAACTCTCATCATTTCCATAAATATATCAATTGATTGGGTTGTATTGGTTGTATAAATGGACATAATTGCATTTGAAATATACCCTATATATATGATATTAATATATTAGTGAGATGATGTAACTTGAGAAGTAAAAATAAAGGTATAGTTGTCAGCTTTACCTGATTCCACCTATTTTGATAGGACATTTGGAACCGTTTATTAAACACTTACCTGTTCAATTTTCAATATTATTATTATTATTATTATTATTATTATTATTATTATTATTGTTTTTAATAAACATGATAGGTCATCTTCTATTAAACAAAGACTAACCATTAAATTAATTATAGTCACCTTAATTTATTAAAATAAATTTATTATTATTCACTTGTTTCATCTAACCACCACAAAATGTCAACTTAGCTGATGATTTGAAATTTATTATCAGGATAAATCAAAATTTAAGTTGTGATAACCGAGTTTTATTATTGAAAAGTTTGAGGGTTGTTTTTGATAAGTTGTGAAAGTTAAAGGATTGTTTAAACATTTCTTTAAAATATCTCATTTTACAAACCGTCTCATTCTTTTAAAATATGCTAGAAAGGTACTCGCGCAATGCAACGAGATACATATGGATTTTAATGGTTTATTTTATTCTTCGTTTCTGTCGATGTTATAATATGATTTTATGTGTTTTTAAGAAAGCAGTAATGATTTTATTTTTTAATAAAATATAAAATTTGAAGATATCATAAAAATTTGAAAAAAAATATATCAATGTTAGTATCAAATCAACTATTTAAAACTCCTCAAATTTTTATATATTTTTTTTAATTTATTTTTATTAT